AGTAAAAGGAAAAGAGGCAACTGGCAAACTGGAACACTGGACATCCTACTCTGTAGGAAAAGATACATTAGAATTGGGGAATGGAGCGGGCGGTCCAGCCGAGCTGCAAAACCTCTGTCTTTGGAAAATTTCAAAATTCAGCTGCACAAGGACCTGACCAACCTGATTCAACATCAAAACTGGTTTGGCTGTGAGCAAAGAGTTAAACCAGTTAACCTCCAGGTGTCCTTATTAATCTTTGGAACCCAAAAATACAACTACAAAATTCTTCTTCTGAGGAAGAGATCAGGTATGAAGGAGAAGGGGAGAGATTTGGAAAAAAAAAAGAAAGGTTAAGAATAATCAAGGAGAAGAGCCTGGCAGTAAAGCTGTAAGGACAGAGGCAACTAAACTCTCAAAAGTAGAAAAACATGCTACATCAGTGTACCAATAGGACTGTGAAGTAATCCAGAGCGTGAACAGGAAAAGGAGTTGAAGAACACTGAGGCTGTTTTCTACAGTGAATCATGAAAGCTTTAACAGGAAGCATGGGACAGCAAGAGTGCTTCACCCACACCACGTTTATTATTTTGTTCATGATGTGAACTAATTCTGCAGTCTGAGAAGGGAAGACTGTGCTTGCAAACTCACGTATTTGTAAATCAGAAGTACAGGCACAAGATAAGGAGGACAAATGCAAATTAACAGGAAGCAGCAACAGAGAAGGAATATCAGCAAATTTCAAGTCAGAATGTGCAAATACTTATTTAAACACAATGTTACATCTCATGGCGGAGGGGAAATCACATGAATTTATTTTCAAATGTTTCTGAGCTGTTTTAATTGTTTTCAGATGTGAGAGATGAGAGGGCAGGGATTTAAACACATTGAAAGAGTAGAGTGCAGTTTTACACAGCTCCATTATTGGCCAGAAACTCACAGGAATAATTCTGTGTTCAAAATACAATATATAAATTATAAATAATTTTAATACCGATCCAGTGAAACTCTTTAAGCATTATACACTGCAGTGAAGCAATGAAAAACTCAACAATATATGAAGTGAGCAAATGAGGTACTGACCAAGGAGTTATACAAGTTTCACCATCCCTATGAAATGCTGAGGATGGATAAAACCTACTTGCTCTACTAAAAGATTTAATAATCTTAGCTAAAAATAGTAATATTAATCTAGGAATGCAGGTGTTGTGGAGGCATCAGTTATACAGATGGATTGTCTATTTTGCCATGAAATTTAACAGATGTGAAACCGACAGTGAAAGGATTGAGCTGACCTAAAACAAAAAACAGGCTGCAAGAAGGCAAGCTCAGAGAAACCCTGAAGCAATGTCACAATTGCAACATGCTGGATCATGGGATTTAGTACATATATCATATAACATGATCTAATTCAAGGTGCAAGAGACCTTTCCAACACTGTCCTTTTACTAAAGGACTGCATTCTTAGAACATTTCACACAGATCAGTTTGTACTCTTGTGGCATCTATGCATACAGATACCACAGATTGTATCTTATGAATGTGCAACAGTGAGAAGACCATCAGAAAAAAAAATGTCAGGTTTAATGGATGGACCTCCCAGCCCTAGAAAATAACGAAGTCTTATAAAAGTATTGTGACATTTGAGTTAAAGTCCTAAAATGTGCGCATGTCATCGCTTATAACTAAGGCTTCTTCTTTAACACAGGACAGGCCAGGAATGCGGGATAGCAAGACTGTTTAAAGACAGCTTTTGATTTACTACTTGAAAATGGCACTATAACCTTTTAACAAATGAGGTTTCACTTTCTGAAAGGGGAGAGTGGTTGGATCAGTCACTGACAGCTGGCAGCGAGAATGTGGCTGAAGGTTACACGTGCTTGTGAAAATGGAATAAATACTTGACTACAAGAGTAAAAGGGGGTGGGGAGGAGGAGAAACCCAAGCTTTCTTGCTCTTAAATAAGTAAAAAGGTTTACCTTCAGGTTATTTACTTGAAAGTTAAAAAGAACGCGTATCAGGCAGTTCTGGGGTGTGTATATATGAGGAATAAAAATGCCAGGGAGTGCAATTTTATCCCCACAGACCAGACACAGTCAGTCAATGAGTGCTGCTATGAAGCACATTAAGTCAAAAGTTGCTGCCCTAGGCAGAAGTCTAGCCAGAAGTTAAACTGAGGTACAGTCAGAAAGTGCTGCAATCCCACACCCACCCAAAAACAAGCAAAAAGCCCAACAGAAAGACTGAAGTGATTAAGAGTGCATACACAGTATCTGGACAAAGGTGTGCGAGGAACAAGTAGCTGCTGGAGACCTTGCAGAAGCAGCAGAATTCATTGCTTCAGACAGGGTAATGTCACCCCCCTCAGAGAAAAGAAAGGGGAACACAGAAGTATTTTGTCTTGCATAGACACAAGAAGTGGAAGATAAGGAAACGGAAAGTAGCAGTCCTCTGACTTGCAGAGGACATGTCCCTGCTCTGATGAAAGTAAGCCCGATGGCAGAACTGAATTGCTTCATACCTACCAAGTACCCAAATGGGAAAGTGGTTAATTAAGTGCTCTAATTCATGCTCTGCATGGGAAAAGTTGCTTACCTGATACCTCTCCTGCTGCTGCTCTTACCAGAACAATATTGTTAAGAACAGAACTGGAGCTCAACCTGCCCAAGTGACTGCAAAGACCTGGCAAGGAGTGGCCTTAACGAAGCCAAGAGGAAACCAGAAGGGCAGTAAGCTTACTGACTCAATGTAGGATCTACAATGCAGTAAATTTCTAAGATTATTCTTTGCATCTGACTTTTCATCTGTGTCACTGACAGTAAGCATGGAGCACAGAGACCTGCAGTCACGACTGGCACTACCACCACACCACACGGTGCATTTCTGTTGGTAACTGCACAGCTGCTGTATGATTCAGCAACTTCAAGTGACATAGCAAAACATAAGGGAAGGAACCAGAACTTTTACTTTTGCAAGAACTTGATCTTAACAGATTCTAAGTAAGCAGTGTCTGCCTGGAGAGGAAAATGGCAAAAGCAACTTTCCAGGAAATTTATACAGGGGTTCAGCAAAGCTGCTGCACAAGTGACACACCTGTACTAGAAGTTCCTTCTACTGTTAATATGGCCATTGCCATTATACTCTAGAAGTTTCCCAACCTCCAAACCAGCAAATATTTTCAGTAGAGGTTCAGTACAGTAGAGGTTTCCAACTTTTGAATGATGCTGTATAATGCATAGGAAGTCACTGATCTGTTTAGGGAGGCAAAGCTTCTGGATTGCAGCAGACCTGCTGATGGCACCACTCCCTGTGCTGCTGTTTGGACTTTCTCAAAATCCATTCTTCATGCCCTTCTCTTCCTGATGATAAGATTACAAATTATTAAATACTTATCTGTTGGTTAAAATTCTTGCTTAATTATTTAACTTTCTGCTCCCAGAAGTTAAAGCAGCTAACAAGCTATGTAGTACCTGCATGGGAGACCACCAGAGAAGGCACAAGCCACTAAGACATGATCCAACACTTGGCAAACCTCAGACAGCAGAAAAAGAGACTTGGAAGAATTTACTCAACCTGCTGTCATGGCCTAGATGACAAAAAAGAAAAGACCAGGAAAGGTTTGTTACATTAAGCCCATGCTGGAAAGCTGAAGCTTCTCTGCTAAAATAAGCTAGCTAGCTTTTGCTCTCAGAGGACTATGAGATTCCTCTCACTGTTTTGGGAATTAAATATTACGTTATGCTTTCCTGTCCCATGAATACTTCAAAAAAGCAGCAATTTAATAAACTGTTAGGATTCTGGTTAAAGCAATAGAGAAGACTGAAAAGGAATGGGTTTATTTTAGTATGAGATACTTCCATGCCCCTTATGATAAATATATGCTCTACTTTAGTTCAACACCCTAGAGAAAGCGGTAAGAAGTCAGAATATTAAGGGGAAGCAGGCAATGAAAAAGTTTCTTGCATATTAAACATGTGAAGAGGCTGCTTCTGCAAAGCAGTCACAGAAACAGGATATACCAAACTCCTACAGTACAGACAATTTATTAATTGTAGCTCTGTGAAATGAGTTAAAACATTCGAGTTCCAGCTTGAAACTATGAGTTGAGCTGAATATCAATTAATGTCTCAGCTGAGATACAAACTATTTCATTTTCAAATTAAAATAAGCTATTAATAAAACATTAACCTGATTAGTAATGAGTTTCTGAAGGTCTGAAGTAGGGTGTATTTAAACCTCTGGGAATATAGTAGAAAAAAAAATTCCTTCTCGAGGTGTTATTGTGAGAGTAGTAAGTGATTAAACTGACTGGAAGTGTGATGATGATTGCAGTGTTCTCCATAATTTCTGAAGATTTGTGTAATATGGAATAAAACAATCATAAGCAACTCCTGTGCCTCAGCTGCTTCGATTTGCACTACAGAGCGCTAACTCACAACACAGCCCTGCCACCTCTCCACGGTTGCCTCAGGAGGACTTGAGTAGGGACACAGGCTCCAGGCCGCCGGCACAGACAGAGTCTGCTCATCAGAGCCTGTCAGAACCTTTTCACAATAATTTTCACATAGGCGTTTGCTACAGCTCTTCAGATCCCCAGAAAAATCCGAAGAGACAAGAACTCACTGTTCCCGAGCCTCAGAGGGCAACAACTTACTGGTCCATAAATTCTGAACACTATTCCCAACTCTTCTTCCAAATCCAAGGTAGTGAGAGGCTTCGCAAGCACATGTACGCTCCTCCTTTCCGCTGATACTTGCTACCCTCAGAACAGTTTCCAAAAAGACATGAGCTACGGGTTCAGCCACTTTAAATTGTATAAAATGGTAATACCGATGAGAACCCAATTGTCCTGCTGCTTTTTCCTGCACCTGAGCAGCTCCCTTTGTGCTGGCAAAAATATCAGTGAAGAGATATGAAAATCAGAAGCTGGTCTTTGCTCTTCTTTCACTTGACTATTTTTAACAAAAAGAAACAAATAAACCGACCACCCCACTCTTTGCATTAATTCCGCTCAGCTCCCCAGTCTGGTTCATAACAAACCACACAAACACCTGTGTCAGAAAGGACTTTGAAACAAATCACTGTGGCAGGACTGATTCTTCTAGTCACAATGCCAAAATACTAGCATCTCAGAATTTTCTTTAACTACTATCTCACTATTCCACCTGCAAGCAATCAGCTGATTTACAAAGAAAAAAAAAAGGCAATAATAAAACTGTGAACCAAAGTGTAGTTTTGGATTTCTGCCACTGCTGGTAGCCTGCAGGTCACATCAGGTGCTTAACTATATTTATTACAACAATGGAGAACTTAAGAGTAGGAGAAGGAGCAACAGCAAGGACAGTCAGCAAGAATGTTCAGGGGCTGCAAAAAACCCCCAACCCAACCGTTCCCAAGGTTAAATACTTTTCTCATAGTTGCTATTTTTAATAGACAGATAGCAGAAGATACAGGTCTTCTGATTAGAAAAAGGTTTCTAATTTTGTCCTACTGCAATAATAGTACTGTAATGTAAAGGGGAATCTCAACAGCTCATAAAAGCTACTAGTACTGTAATTTACATAATTTTCATATCTGCTGCAGATACAGCTTTCCCTCATACCACACTTATGATGCACAGTTGCAGGTTACAAAATTACTTAAAATGAGTGGACATGCAGAGGAGTCCCAGCCCAGCAGCTGGGCTATTGGCACACATCGCTCCTACCAGTAAAGAATGAAAAGATGAGTTGCTGATCAGACTGCATCCACAGTAACCTCAACATAGGCAACAAAAAAGGGTTTTTTTTAAAAAACACATCTCCAAATAAGGTCATTACAAAGCACAGTTGTTCCAAGAAGGCTTACTCACCACAACTTACATTTAAAAGCAAATAATCCACTACTTATACAAGAAAGAAAAAAACCTGTTTATTTACGGGGATAGAAAACACTTTAAAAAGACAAAATACAGCTACTCTGATGTAACCGTCTTACATTTTCATACACTCAGTAAACTCCCAAGATCCTGTCTACAATTAATTTGGGGAGAATCACAAACATTTACACAAACGTTCAAAAATGCACCAACATATTTTAAGGTACAGTAATTTAATTTAAAAAAAAAATCAACAGAAGGGTTCTCTGTTAGATTAAATACACTGTATATATAACATTGACATTCTGAGTAATAATTCCTAAAGAATAATAGCTCGGATATGCTTTGCAAATTATGTTGCAGCACATACTTAAGATAGAAAAAAATCCTTTTTCGTTATTTTCTAACTGTGGTTGAAAAAATTACAATCCACAGCTGGTATTTTCCAACATATTTTCAGCAATACAATGAATCCCCCAAATGAAACTTCTCTGTAATAAACAGTCTTCCAAAGCCTTCTGAATATAGAAGCTCAGAGTTATAGAAATTAGTAAAATCAAAACCAGCAATGCATTTCTGACCACTCAGCTTCCTATGACTGAGATCACAATAATGTGACTGTTTAAGGGCCACTTGTAACTTACATCTGTTTAAGAAATTATCGATGTTCTTGTTCTTCCTCAGTGCTGGATAATCCAGATCAAGGACCAAAGAATTCAAGCCATCCTGAAAAGAAACAAAAATAAGTTAACTGAGTTCTAAAATCATAATTAACAACTTTATTAAAACGACTACACTGAGACTGATTATACATTATTCAGGCACGCATTACATTCCTAGCAGGCAAATCAAACAAGCTCTCAAGTGTGTTTATAAACCAGTCACTGCAGAGGAGCTAACGCACACTGCCTGGCTCCAAGTTGGTCTATAAACAGCACAGATACATTACCACTGATGAGAGGCACTGGAACTTAAACTGGAGTAGTAGTTTCAAACTTAAACAGTAAGTAATCTCACTCTTTAAACACTGTTTTAAGATACTTAGTTTAGTCAATCTGCTTTTCTTATTTCCATTATACTTTTCCTGCATATTCAAAAACTTGATGTTTGTATTATCCATATTACTGCTTTGATCACAGTCTCTCTACCTTCTCATTCTGGATATTCAAAAACCAACTGCGCATTTTTCCTCTTGGAAGCAAGACATGAGCTAAGCTCCAGAAGACAATTCACCACATAATTCACGCTCACAAGACAGGATTACTTTTCCTAAGTGACTCAACAGGAGACAAGCCAGAACTTCACACGCCGTCCTGCTACCAATTATCAATGCCTCCATAAAACCAACTGAGACTTCTTAAAATGGCAAGGGATGAGATCACCAGGATCTAAGCTAAAAATTGTATTTTTAACACCTGTTACAAGACTTAATTCCACCTTTCAGCAACCTAGAAAAACTTTATAAAATACTCTTCAGACACACAGCCCTTTCAAATTCCACAGGGACAAATAAAAATAAAAAATCATTTCAGATCCTAAGAAGAGCCAGAGACTCCATTCATAGTCAGCACCTCCCGTGTTCTGCCTGAACCGGCAGCTCTGTTCACCGCTCCAAGAACAAAATCCTGGCATTGTTTCTTCTAGTTTTTGAGCATTGCAGAGATATAAGTCAGAGACCACATCACATTTATTAATATGCAGCCAATAGAACTACACAGCTTTTCAGTCTTCCTAATAACTGAGGCTATAGCTAACAACTTGCTGATTTTATTTTTTTTCCTTAATACATCTGGGAAGGCATCATTTGTTGTAAATATCACTAAAATTATTATACTTGTTCTAATAATATATCTAGGTAGAGTTAAAAGCAAGGCCCAAGATTATTAAATACATTTTGAAAGGCATACTGTGCTGAATACAGACATACACAAATCAGAGTACCTCATCTGTGGAGATGTCGCTTTTCACCACAAAGAAAAAAACATTAATGATTAAGCACATTTTCAAAATTAAGATATTTGACTGGAACTTATTTATTTATTTACTTTTGCCTCCTAACAAAGGGAAGTGTCTTAGGAAGTGTCATAGACAAGCTGACAAAGTAGCAGTTAGACTAACGAAGAGGATTAAAAATGCGCTGAAAGACCAGGCTCAGAAGAGTGCGAGGAGTGGCACCAAGCCCAGTTGGAGGCCAGTCACGAGTGCACCCCAGTACCCAACACTGGGGCCAGTACCGTTTAACATCTTCATTATCATCTACACCTGCTGCACCCCACAGACAACATAAAACTGGGGGGAGTGGCTGACCCACCAGAGGATTGTGCTGCCACTCCAAGGGACCTGGACAGGCTGGAGAACTGGGCAGAGAGGAACATCACAAAGCTCAACAAGGGGAAATGCCAAGTCCTGCATCTGGGGAGGAAAAACCCCAGGCACCAGGTACAGTTTGGGGCCTGACAAGCTGAAAGTCAGCTTTGCAAAGGAGGACTCAGGGGTCCTGGTGGACAGCAAATTGACCAAGACCCAGCAATGCACCCTTGCAGGAAAAAAAAGCCGACAACATCCTGGGTTGCATTGGGAAAGCACTGTCAGCAGGGAAAGCGAGGTGACCCTTCCTCTCTACTCAGCACTGGGGAGACCACACTGGCAGTGTCCCCTCCGGGGCTCCCCAAACCAAGACAGGCAGGGACTTACTGGAGCGAGTCTAGCAAAGGGCCATGCACATTAAGACAGGGAGCATTTCTCGTAAGAGGAAAGGCTGAGTGTGCAGACAGTCCAACTTGGAGAAGAGAAGACTCAGGGCAAGGGATCTGTACAATGTGTATAAATAAGCACCTGATGGGAGGCAATGAAGAAAAAGTAGTGCTCATTGACAGGACAAGAGGCAACAGGGACAAGGCAAAACACATCCAATTCCAGCTGAACACACCACTTTTTTCCTGTGAGGGGGGTCAAGCACAGAACAGGTTGTGCAGAGAGGTTGTAGAGTTTCCATCAGTTGAGATATCCAAAACCTGACTGGATGTGGTCCTGGGCAAGCTGCTCTGGCTGACACTGCACTGAGCAGTGGGTTGGACTAGATGATCTAGATTGGGTGATCTTTCAAGGTCCCTTCCAACTCCTAATATTCTGCGATTCTGTGATCTCAAGAGGTCCTTGCCAACCTCAACCACTCTGTGATACGACACTTAAAATTTATTTCCACTGCCACAGAGAGAAGTGAAATTTTACTCTTTAATCTACATAACATGAACTGTGTTGTGAAGGTCATATACATCATGCTTCAGAACTTTCTTACAAAAAAACCCATAAAACAGTGTTAATAAGCAAAAAGGGAAGTCAACAAAGACACAGTATCAACTGCTACTTACTCTGAGAACAATATTTATAGGCATTCTTTCAGCCTTGACCATCACTATTCCTGCAAAACCCATTAAGGATAAAGAAGTGATGCACGTCGTACTCATCTTTCAGAGGAACAGATGACTTAGTACCTATTTATAAAAATGTAATCAAATTTAAGAAAGATACAAGAAAACAAAACCAAAGTAACAAAGTTCTTCAATGCTTCTGGATTAGTCACTGCATGAATTGGACAGGATCTGCCCAATAACCTGGACAAATCTAACTGAAAGTACTCTGACTTGACTTCCTGCAGAATAACATAATAGAATCTGCAATACCAAACTCTTTATTTAGCAAACGCTGCCTTCCAAAAAAGGCTATCTCATTCTGTACTACAGTGTGTCAGCAGAAATATGGAGCTTCACCCTGCACCATGCAGAAAAGGACCACAGTGATGTCCTGACGGGGAAGGGCTGGGCCCTCTTTTAGGATTCTACCAAGCACAATGAAGTCTGGACTCCAATTAGCTGGCAGTCTACACACAGCACCTGACTCCAACAACAAATACGACTTGAAGCTACACTTTCATTAGTATATTTGTAATATAACTGCATTAATAATATATGACTGTAGTTTGCAGTATCAATTTACAGTATCAAATTAAGAGGCTTTCTTACTCTTTAGAATCCCTTAATGCAATTAAGAGTTTCGCAATTGGCCCTGAGCATATTTTTCTAATTACAGTTCTCATTTCTACTGCATAGATTCAAAAATAAAAGCTAGATCTCTAGAGCTGAGCACCTTCTTACTCTATTTCTTTCTTCACAGTCTAATACCTTATTTATCACTCCTTTTACATTCTTCTTTCATTGCTATTGAAACAGTATTTAATGACCACTAACAACTGGGTAGACAGCTTAAAAGCAATCTGTGCTAACACAGATCAATAAGGCACATTTTAGTTCTTCACATTTTTTGGGGGGAGTGAGGCAAGGTCACCTGATATTTTAATGCTTTTCATTTCATGCAGATATTTTAGAGCCTGGCCAAGTAAAACATTTATAGTGTACACTACTTACATCCTATGCACAAAGTCTGGGAAAAAATAAAGTTATCATCCCCAACAGTCATTTCAGTAAAGTTGAATTACAAGGTCCAAAACAACCATAACTTTCAATTTAAAATGAGCTGTATATTATTATTTCAGATATCACTGTTTTTCCCCCAGTGTCATTCCAATTTCACAGCCTTTTTTGTGGGCTATAAAAACTGAGAACCATATTTGCAGCTATTTTTTATTAGCTCTTTCTGTCTCCTTTTCAGGAACTTCTGGTAACAATTTTCACAAGTAGCTATTAATGAGCAGGAATTTGAAAAGAGTGCAACTGCCTGTTCTTAACTATTTGGAAGTGTCGTAGCACTTGAGGTCAGTCATCTGCAGAAGAGGATTACTATCAAAATCACAAGGAATAGAAAGCGTAAATTTTTTTATCCCTGTGAACAAACCTTATTGTCTTACTCTTTTCAAGACAAGATTTCAACATACTTTTAAGGTAAGAGCTTTCAAGTTCATATCAACATGTAGTTTATATGTAACACTTGTCTTGCACATCAGCTTTAATTAAAAGGTGTTTCCTTAAAGCTTTACATTTCCATCAAAAGGCCTAGCTGACATTACTTAACACAAAAACTGCACTAGAATTAAGAAGCTAGGTCAAAGGATTACACCGTAAAACGGATCGTTCGAACTGAAGAGAAGTAATCCAGGAAATGACATCTCCTCCGTCTAGGCCTCACAGATAAGTCACTTCAACCAGGAAATATGTTATTAAAGTGATTTCACTGCTCGCTTCCTCTTTCTGCTATTACAAAAGGCTCAGAAGCTACCAGGCCAAAAATAGCAGCTTCCAAACAAATGCACTGTTGGCAAAGACAGCTCTGCCCCCATTAAAAGCGTTTTGCTCACAGCAGACAAGCTAAAATGTTTTCCACAGATTGTTTTCCAAGGGAAAAGTCCAAAGTAGATATTTTTGCAACACCCTCCTACACCAGAAGAGCTCCTGGCCACTGGCAGCAACGACCACCTCTGGGGACAACATGGATGGAGCCTGGCCTCCCCAGCAAGCAGCTTGTTCTGGTACAGACCTGAACGAACTCAAGAAAGATCAGGCAAGCAAAGTTCAGGGGACACAGGTTTGGCTACTGTGATTTATTCCTCACTTCCATTATGGGAAAAAAGCAAAACTCAAAGACCAAAGAGTAAGATGACCGATCAGAAGAGGTATCAGTTGCTTCAGAAAACAATTCATAACTGTGCAAGAGCCGGAAAACTTGAGAAGCTTGATCCAGTGAAAGACAAACCTGTCCTTGGCAGT